AAATTAAAGCAGTTTTATTTCTTGTCCAGAACATTTCTATAGATTGCTGCATGATAGTTTGTTCTCAGGTGTATAATCTGTGGTACTTTAGTTGTGTTTGACATCTCATTAGGACAAGACAAGAGCTTCTTACTGACAGAATGAACCTGCAGGCAATGAGAATTTTCTTTTTTCATTTCACCTTTATTTTACCAGGCATAAACACTAAGAACAAGTTCTTATTTACAGTGCTGGCCTGGCAGAGAAGCACAGATGCACTGATGCTGACTATGAAATAAAACCCAGCTTGATGCTGGTCATGGGGAGCTTGTTAGTGCACGTTGATGGAAGGAATTAAAGCACAGATTCCACCGATGTCTCATTTAAACTGAATAAACACTTGTTAAAGAGTAAACCTTCTGTAATAAAATGATGAACTCGTCTGAGAGAGCAGATGTTTTTGCTGCAAGGCTGAAAATGTGCACAGTTGGATCGTCTGTACAGAAAACTACAGTCAGGAAGGGAAACCTCAGCTGCTGCTGTGTTTGGTTTCTCTTTTCTTCAAGTACACCTGGAGCTGGAACCCACACCTTGTCTCTGCTCCGTCAGCTCTCCTGGCCCTTACAGCAGAATCCACTCAGCACGACCAGCAGCTTGTACTTCCTGTTGTTTCCAGCTGTTTATGTCTCTTCAGTAATAAACTGTCAGCACATTTTAACATCCCACCAGCAGCACAGACCATTCTGTCACGTCACGTTCCTTTAAGTTGACGTTCATTAACACGTTGGCTTGGATGAGGTCAAATGTTACAAATGAGCACCCACTGTGTTCAGGCTATAACCACGTCACACGGCGTAGCTACATCCAGTTAAATCATTCCGTATATTTTAAAGTTTACCAGAAACAGTCTTCAACAAATGCCTTCAAGGCTACCAGGTGAAATACCAGTGAACAGTTTTATTTCATGATCACAATCACGCGTAAGACACTGGAAGACAACCTACCAGTAATTCAGGTGTAATTTATTTACACATTTAAATTATTTAAAAAGCAAGAAATGCGTTATGGGGCAGCATCGTGGCTCAGTTTGTAGAGCTGTTGCCTCTCAGTGGAAAGGTCGCCGGTTCAAATCCCAGCCTGGGTCCTTTCTGGGTGGAGTTTGCATGTTCTGTCTGTGCATGCGTGGGTTTTCTCCAGTTTCCTCCCACAGACCAAAAACATGCATGTTAGACTGATTGGTAACTCTAAATTGTCTCTAGGTGTGAATGAGAGAGGGAATGGTTGTTTGTCTCGTTTGTCTCAATGTGTCTCTGTGATGAACTGGAGACATGTCCAGGGCGTCCCCCGCCTCTCACACAGTGACAACTAGACATGGGCACCAGTGACTCCAGTAACCCAAACAGGAAGAAGCGGGTAAAGATGATGGATGGATGGATGCAGGGCTTCACACATTAGATTGTTCACAAAAGTGCAGGAATTTTTTTACATAGTGCAAAACTTTAATTATATTTTTGTGTTTTTTAATCAAATTGCCCATGACTTTGAACTTTTAGGGGCGGAGAATTTTTTAAGAGCAGAAGATGAAATGTGATGCGACAGCTCTGATGTGATGTTAGGAAGCTCAAAATTAGTGTTTATGTCATTATTTTCAGATTGCATATCCCTAATATAGGTTTTATTCATTCAGTCAAATTTGTTCATAAATTTATTATTAGGCCTGAGAGTTACCGGATCCAAGAAAACAGTTACCGGAATGCACCCTGTCAAAATAAGAGAATTCCCAGATCTTGTTCTGGCAGGATCCAGCTCAAATTAAGCCTTGGCTGGATGGATGAGTTATGGGTGAATGATTCCAGTAAAAAAAGAATAAATAAATTGATGAACTTGATGGATTATAAACTTTTGACAACCAGGTCCTCTGCTTTTGGACAGTGACGGACCTGATGACTGTACGGTTCTGAATGTTTGTCGTCCGTCTCCTCTCACGGACCTATCACTGAACAGATGGAGCTTCTTACTGAATGTTTTACAGAAACTGAGTCTCTGTTGCCATGGTGATCTCATCAGGCTCAAAGTGAGGCTAACTTTCAGCTCAACAAAGTGTTACGGTCCAGCTCCCGGGCGATCCACTGAGTCAGCATCAGAACCTCATGAAAACAGAAGCAGGACATTTCTTCACACCTTCTGCTGTTTTAAAAGTCAGGTTCATGTTCTCTTCAGTCCGTGAGCTACAAGAACCAACTCTAATCAGAAGCAGAGCAGGTAATTGAGGAGTTTTTCTACCGTCCCTCCATCTTCTTAACCTGCACCTCCTTACGCTGGTGCCTCTAGCAGTCACTGTGTGAGAGGAGAAGGACCCTGGACAGGTCTCTAGTCCCTCGGGGGACACACGGAGACAAATGAGACAACCACTCACACACACACACGGGGACAGTTAAGAGTTACCCTTGAACCTAACATGGAGGGTTCAGGTCCGTGGGAGGAAACTGGAGAACCTGGAGAAAGATCCCCACGTGCACGGAGAGAACGTAAACTTTAAACAGAAAGACCTCAGGGCTTGAACCCAGGACCTTCTTGTTGTGAAGAACAGTGATCCACTGATCCACCGTGCAGCCCAAACCATGACCTGCTGCTGTAGTGAGCTGAATTTGGCTGTTGGACTGTTTTTATGGACTCGCAGCACAGCCGGTGTGACAGATCAGCTTGAAAAGCGTGAACATCTCATATCAACGGAACTGGACTGACGGTTCTAGAATAACCATCATCACAGGACGATCACCGTCCCTGGAAGTTTCACTCCGTGCTGCAGAGTCAGTCTTTTTACTTCAGGCTTCTCTGCTGTCTTTCTGTGGCTACAATGCTGCAATGTCTCACTGATGTAAAACGACAAAAGAATTAAAAATAGCGCAGAAGCGTGGACATCACTATCGCCTGCCTGTCTTGATGACATCAGGATAATAATAGAAGGAAACGAGCGTGTGATGGATGTGACTCTGAGGCAGCAGTCTGCTCTTCTTCATGTTCTAATGAAATACTTTTCATTAGATCAGTGGCTGCTGCAGGAGATTTGTTAGCCTGGAGCTAAACAACTGACAGAAATGTTGCTGTTGCACGTCAGAGCTGAAGGTCTGTTTAAGTGAGATGGATCTGAAACAAGTTTATATCTAATGGTTAGATAAACAGGTGAACACAACACTCATCCATCCATTATATTTATATATTTATGTCTCCAGCAGTAACTGTGTGTGTGTGTGTGTGTGTGTGTGTGGGGGGGGGGGGGTCTCCAGTCCATCACAAGGTTACACAGAAACAAACAAATATTCTCACACTTTACTAAAGGGACAGTTCAGAGTTATCAATGAACCAAACATGGAGGCTTCTGGTCGGTGGGAGGAAAGCAGAGAACCTGGAGAACATGTAAACTCCAAGACTCTGAGGTGAATCTGCCCTAACCACTACTGCCCACAGATTCATATCCATCCATCCATCCATCCATCCATCCATCCATCCATGCATCCATCCATCCATCCATCCATCCATGCATCCATCCATCCATCCATCCATCCATCCATCCATCATATTTACCCACTTCTTCCTTTTCGTTTTTCGGGGGGCACTGATGTCCATGTTCAGTTATCACTGTGTGACTGGGCTTAATTCATAAACTGATCGATGCTGGAATGCAAATGGTGGGCGTTGTGCCGTGGGAGGAGGGTGTTGGGGTGGGGGAGTCTGGAGACCCTCCCCCAGAAATTCTGAATGAAGTAGATGTGACTTCCTGCATTTTGGTGTATTTTAATGGGTTGTTAAACATCTATGTTTATCTACATTTGCAAACACTCTGCTTCTGTCAGTCATCCTACCCCCCCAACATGATGGTTCAGAGCCGACTCTTCTCCACTGAGTTCACTGTCTGACTCCATATGTGAAACCTCCAGACGCCTCCTCCATCTGTTCATGGCGGGTGCCTGTGGGCTCCTGCCTGGTTAACTCGGCACTGACCCCCACCACTCTTTTATGGGCGGAGATTTTTTTTAAGCATTCAGGCAGAAATGTTACTTAAAGAGGCAGCTCAGCTCGTATGTGATATTAAGAAGTTGTAAGTAGCTGTTGTGTTTAAAATGAGTGTTTATGTAATTATTTTCAGTTTACACATCCAGTATAAGTTTTATTAATTCAAGGCAGACATATTTGTTCATAACTGTATTATTAATAAACCTGAGAGTTACCGGATCCAAGCAAAGAGTTACTGGAACATACCCTCCCAGAATAAGAGCAGTTCCCAGATCCTGTTCCAGCAGGATCTGGGAACTGCTCTGCACTGCTGTACGAGAGGCGGGGTACACCCTGGACGGGTCGCAAGTCCATCACAGGGCCACTCGTCCATAATCTCTTACCAGCTTCAAATAAAATTACAAAATAAATCATGTTCATGTTCAATCAGGTCTCTTTTGTAAATGAGTCCTCGAGGCTCAGTGGGATTTACCTGTCTAAATAAAGGTTGAATTAATGAAAAAACGTTCACAAATGATGTTTAAAACACCTGGAGATATAAATGATCATTTCAGCGCAGTCTGCACGCACTGAGCTGTCGGTTAACAAAACATGTTGAACAAACTACACAAACGCGACATGATGGTTGTTGCCTCACGACAAGAAGGTCCTGGGTCCAGAGCCTGGTTTGGACCTGGGCTCTTTCTGTGTGGACTATACATGTTCTCCTCACAGGTTTCCTCCAGATGTTAGGCTGCCTTCAGACCCAGACCTCCATTTAAAAGCACATCTGTAATCTCAATGGGCCTGGTTAAATAAACGTTCAATAAATAAAAATAAATAAAAAGTTTACGGATGGCTTGATGATGCTTGTGAGAACAGTCTCAGTCCAGTTGGTTGAAACCTGAAACATCTTTATCTCTTATGTAATGATCTATTTGATTTTAAATTAATTTTTATATATTTCCTGAATGAAATATAAATTGTATTTATTTATTTGTTTGTTTGTTTGTTTTCCCCCTCATCAGCTATTGCCATGACCACAGATGAGGTGGAAAGTCACCAGAAGCCAAAGAAGCAGGAGGAAGTCGGGCAGGATGCTCGGCCCCCGTCTCCTGAAGATGAGCAGCTCCAGCCCAGGAACCGTAACTCCGCCGGCCGGGGTCTCTCGCGCCTCTTCTCCTCCTTCCTGAAACGGCGTTCCCACTGTGACAGCGAAGGGGGGGACAGGGCAGACAAGGACGAAGAAGAGGCTAAAGCCCCCATTGCTGACCCCGAGCCTGAACTGAAGATCGAGGGAGAGGTTGCCCTGGACCAGCATTCAGTCAGCAGCGCCGAGGCTCAGGTCAGCTCTCACAGGTGTCCTTAAGGTGCAGAAGAAAACTGACTGAGAGGAAAAGTCAGGCTTTAACACAGGAGGTCATTGTTGCTCCAGCACATAGATTAGTAAATCAAGATTGTGTGGCATTAGCTTGTCCCAAGATTTCTCGTTAATGTTAACAATGTTGAAGTACCGTATTTTTCATCGTACAAGTTGCATCTTTTTGCATAAATTAGCACGTCCTGCAACTTATACACCAATATATCTTTCTTCTGTCCCCCCCCCCTGTATTTATAATCCAATTTTTGGCTGAGAGCCGACGATTTAATTCATTCTGACGTGAAAAATATTGAACACTACCATTTTCAGCCACTAGATGGCCCTAGAGTAATATGGCAAGCCAAGTGTCTCATTAATAGGTAAAAGTGGCTATTAAAGAGACACTTGGCTTGCCATACCAAGCCACCTTCGTCTCGCTCTGGAACTACTGGAGCAAAGGTCAAATCAGCTGCATTTCACCGCGCTGCCCAGGAGAAATGCAGCTCATTTGACCATTAAAGTGCATTTATTAAGGAAAAGTTTGGCTGAGATACACCTTTGATATAATGTCGAGCAAACAAATAATTGTTTGTAAGTGTTAATTTTGTTAAATTCTTATTAAAGTCCTCCCGTGCACGCTCTTGCCACCGCCATTTGGCAGCCAATCGATTTTTGGCAAAACACTGACCCAAGTTTCCCGGTGGTCAGGGGTGACGCATAACAGATGCAACTTATACGGTGAAGCGACTTATTTATGGGTTTTTTTTCCACATTATTAGACATATTTGGACTGATGTGACTTATAGGGTAGTGCAACGTGTACGGTGGAAAGTACAGTACTGTCAAGTTGCAAGCAGCATGATGTCCTCTGGTGAGGTTAAAGTGAAGATGTCCACACCTCACCACTTTACATCATCTTTGTGGCAGCTGTTCAGACAGTGAGGACCAGCGTGGTCATGACACTCCAGCTGTGTCGGTTTAGGTTTAAATCTAATCAAGCAGATTAAATAAAACAGATATTCTGATCTTCATTGTTATGGGCGGCTGTGGCTGAGTGGTTAGAGCAGTCATCATCCAATACTAAGAGTCGGGGGTTTGATTCCACCAGCAGTCACATGCTGAAGTGCCCCTGAACAAGACACTGAACCCCTCATAGCCTCCGGTGTGTGTCCCATCAGTGTATGAATGTGATAAACCTCTGACTATTCTTTGTATAGATCTAGTAGAGCGCTGTATGAAAGGGTAAATGAGGCACAGGTTGTGTTGTAAAGACCTTTGAGTATCTTGATAAGATAGAAAGGTGGTTTATAAGTACAGTCCATTTATCATTTCATTGTTGGATATTTTAATTAATTACTCTTACCTACACTATATTAGACATGCTGGATATTTTCTTGTTGTCCCCGTTACAGAGCAAAAAGGAGGAATTGGAAATACCTTCAGTCCATCCGTTTGTCTTCATGTTGTGATCTTGATAACTTGAGGTATATTAGGTCATTTTGGTGTGCGGCTACTTCTAGGGGTAAGAAAAGTTCCTTTTAAACACTGGGTTGCCACGTAGTGATGGACTTGCAACCTGTCCAGGGTGTCCTCTGCCTCTCGCACATTGACTGCTGGATACTGCTTTGTTTTGTTTTTTTGAATGTCCAGAGGACCAGATTTAACTTTTTTATATTTTTAAAGATGTCAATCCAGGGAATAGACAGACCCGAGTCAAACTGTCAGCCCTAAAACTGTGTTGTTTTTTTTATTAGTCACACAAGCTAATCGGCAAAAATAACTCCACTGTTCATCAGCCTGAGCAACTTTATCGTTTGATGGAGAAAATAAAAATAAAAACGCACAAAGAAGTTTGCTTCAGTCAGCTCGGGTGTCAGAGGAGCGTCCATCAAAGCCCATCTCAGCTGCAGAGCCCCATTTCTTTTATCCAGTTGGTCTTTTTGTGTTTTCTTGTTTTTTGAAGGGAGTTATTTTTAGCTGTTGCTTTTCTTTTTGATTTTTTATAGCCGTTTAATGTTTTTTTGTTTTTTTTGGCAAAATGTTTTCATTAGAAATCAGCAAAAAAATGAGTTAACTGAAGTTCAGATGACTGAGTGAATATTTAGCATCAGTCTGTTCCAGATCTGGCACCACCTCTAACACCGTCTAACTACTGACCCAGTTACAGCTGGAATAAAACAATCATGTACAAGAAAACATTACTGAAGACAGCACGTTTGTTTTTCAGGCTCTCCAGGTGGAGAAGAAGGAAGCTGAGGAGGAGCTGGGGATGAAGGAGAAGGAGAAGAATGATGAGAAGGGAGAAGCAGTTCTTCTGGAGAAAGAAGAGGATAAAGAGAAGGAGTCGGGTCCTGAAAGTGGGGAAAAGGAAGAAAAGAAGGAGACGACAGCAGAGGACGAGGCCAAACCACCCAGAGCTCCTCGCCGGCCGAAGAGCCTGCAGATCAGAGTCACCCTGCTGGACGACGCGCTGTACGAGTGCGAGCTGGATGTAAGAGCGTTGAGCTTCACAGCACTGCTCCTCAGAGCTTTAGTCATGCATTTTCCCAGTAATCCCAGTTTATTTAGAGCAACAGAAGTCCTCAGAGAATTGTATAAATAAATAAAACTCCAAATCATAAACCCAGTTCAGAACGTTTTCCAGTCCCTCCTGTAGCACAACTCGTTATCATACAGCACCTAACCTAGTCCCAGTTAGTCCTTGTTTAAGTCCCGCCTCATTAATCACAGTGTAACATGACACCGTCCCTCATCCCTCGGTCTCATGGAGAAAATGAACCTTATTGAAATCCATTACAGTAGTCCCTTGCTTAGTGCGGGTGTTACGTTCCAGACACCCCCGCAATAAGTGAAAAACCGTGAAGTAGGAATGCTATATTTATTTTAGTGTTTACATATATTTTAAGGCTTTATAAACCCTTCCCACACTCTTGCAATGTTTCAAACAATGTTTTAAACTAAACGCGCTGCCACCCACCGGCCACGCCCACTTCTCTGCCGGAATCACATTGGTTCTCATCAGCTGTGTCACTCCCAATCTCCCTCCTTCCATGTAAATAAACAATTTAAATTTAAAATTGACAGTATTGAAATTCATAAAGTTAATGGGTGTCGTTATTGATGAGAAGCTGACATGGAAATCTCATGTAAATTGCTTTAGAATAAAAATATCAAAATCAATTGCATTACTGTCTAAAGTAAAAGAGTTTCTGAATGACAAAGCTTTGTATATATTGTATAATGTAATGATTGTTCCATATTTAATCTATTGTATTGAAGTTTGGGGAAAAGCATGCAAAACAATTATAAACCCTATTTTTATTTGACAAAAACGAGCTATAAGAATTATTAGTAGGAAGTACTAACAAATATATTATTTCAACTGTTGAAATTATTAACATTTTGTGATTTGGTTGAATATAATATTTTACAAGTCATGGATTAAGCTCATAAAAATATTAGCCCAAATATTAAGTTAAAATTTGTTAAAGAGAGTCGTTATAACCTTAAGAGAATGGAAATGTTTGTAAAACCTCCATTTAGAACTGGTCTGAAGGAGCTGCGTTGTCATTCATTGATATCACCATAAACATTTCTAAAACATTTATATGTTTAAAAAGATGATTAAGTTAAAGTTGTTGGGAAGGTATGATACCAGGTGAAGGATACCTGATGCTTTTTGTTTTCAATTTGGAGATTGTTCAAGTGCAGGTTGTTTGTTTGTTTGTAGTTATTTTATATATATAAGGGGCAGATATTATAATTTTCTTCTTCTTTCTGCACCCTTTTCATTCAATGTTTTTTTTCTTTTTGATGAATTTGTTTTGTTTATTTTGTTTCTTTTAAATGAATGAATAAATTAAATAAATAAATGTAAGTACTACAATAGTTTAAATAAACAATCCATGTCACGAGTAGCGTGGATTGTTTGTTTTAAATAATCAAGCGTGACCGAGCCTTTAGTCCCCCTCGGCAAACGGGCCAGGCCACCGGGAAATGTCCCGGTGCTCCCAATGACCAGTCCGCCCCCAACTCCTGCTGCACCTATGTGCAGAGCATAAGTCGAGGTCCAGATATCCGATTGACAGAAATATCCGTCTTGGGCAAGGCAAAGGGGAGGAATCCATGACCATGAAGTGGGTCAGGAACAGAGCAGGAACAAGAAGGCTGATACTTCAGGCACGAGGCGATCAGACAATCAGGCAGAGACTGGGGAGAGCTTAAGAAGTGCAACGCACAAAACAAACAAACAAACAAAAAACGCACAGGTGCTACATTAAAATAATTTATTTTAAATAGTTTATTTTAAATAAACAAAATCGATGTTGCTCATTTGGCTCACTCCATCAATCAGCCAATCGTGTGTCGTGTACAAGCTTACGTTGAAAACCTGCGAAAGAGCGAGTTCACGAAAGTCGAACCGCGAAGTAGCAAGGGACTGTATTGCATTTTGTACATCATAGAATAATGCTTTCCTTTCAGTTATGTTGTTTTATTTCTATCCCTGAGGAGCTGAGCATCAGTCTTTCATTACAGACATTCTGAGCAGCTGCATGAGGGAGAACCATCAAATAACTTCTGATTCATTCTCTTGGTCTTTTGTACATTTCTGTTAGAAACATGCCAAAGGTCAGGATCTGTTCATGAGTGTATGTGACCACCTCAACCTGCTGGAGAAAGACTATTATGGTCTGGCCATCTGGGCGACACCCACTATGAAGGTGAGCATAACCCCCTGACCCGTCTTCTTCCAACTTCTGTGTTATTTAGTGGTTGCAGGACATAGTCAGACCCGCTTAACATTGTACAATTTTGTTGTTGCAGCCTGTTGCTAAAACTGTTTCATTTTTTTCCCCTCAGTAATCTGCACTCTGTGCCCAAAAATAACAAAATACAAACAGAATTATAAAAATAAAATTAATTTTCATAAAAAGAGCAACTTGAATGTCGCACTGCAGAAGATTGCTACATTTAAACTCCACCAGATGGAAAGACGAGTTCTCTCTGACGTAGCAGACAGACGTGCTTTTCCACAGGGACCTGTTTTTACTCCAAGAGAAACCCCATAGGTCAGTAGTCCTCAAACTGTGGGGCACTCCTCCCTGGGGGCACATGGGATAGTACTGGGGGGACACACCGTCGTTGAATGTTTGTTTTTTTGGTCCCCTCCCCAGGCCAAAACAAGTAGGCAAAACTACCGTTCCAACGCCTTGTAGAAAAGAAAAATCTGTCTGTTAATATAAAAGTTTGCAGATTTTTTTTTTCCCCAACGAGGACAAAAGTTTGAGAACCATCGCCATAGCTGATCTTCAAGTAGCCACTCCCCCACAGTGCGGCTCTGTGGTACGCTAACAGAAACAGCAACCACATGGCGTGGGCCTCAGTTTCTTGCTACATTATGACTATCACAGAAAGTGATGTTCTTCAAACAGTGGAGAGCATCTTATTCCAGGTGTTGTTGTGATGACGCTGTCCACTCAGCAGAACCGACTGAGCACGCCGTCCTCTGACCACGACAGATTAGAGCTCACACCATGAATACTGACTCCTAGAAGTTGATGTTAGCTCTCCGCAGCTAATACTCCCAACAACGTGACTGCGCTCACGCTGTTTCCTGAGCAGTCGCATTAACCGCGCTCACTTCACATTTCATGGCAGTCATCCCATAGTTGATCCAAACCCCCAGGAGACAAAAGTTCTGTGTGGGCCTTAGGGGACCAAGATGGATAGAGGCAGGGCAGCCGACTCTGGACCCGAAAGTCCCAGGTTCGATCCCCAGTCATTGCACATCTCGTTGTGTCTCTGAGCAGCACACCCTATCCCCATATGTGGGCGCCTTTGATAGCTGCCCACTGCTCCACCTGGTGTTGGATTGGTTAAATGCAGGGAGCCAATTTCGCCATTGTATGGAACATACAATGAAGACAATACATACACATTATTGTATTGAGAATAGGTTCTCTGAGCTCCTAGAAGAACAAAGCATTGTCATTATAGTCTTGGTAGAGCGTCAGAAATAGAATTCTTTACTTCCCGCTGAGTATAAATCCATCTTCATTTCAGAATTGAACCAACTTTCGCAGCAGTTCCAATCTCAAGTTTTTTTGGCTGGATTGGACCATTGGTGACATTTTTCAGGTTCCTCTATAGATGTCTGATAGGGGTCAACACCAGGATATGTGTGGGACATTCAAAGATGTGCCTAAGCCATTCCTCAATTGTCTATGGGTCTTTCTCAAGTTGGAAGGTGAACCTTATGTCAGGTTTGAGCTCTGTATTACAGGTTTCTAGTGTCCCAGTCTTTGCTGCTAAACAAACACCCCCACAGCATGATGCTGCCACCACCATGCTTCACTGTGGGGATGGTGTTGGGCAGGTGATGAGCGGTGCCTGATTTTATCTTAATATATTGTTTAGAACTGAGGCCAAACGGTTCTGTCTTGCTGTCTTAGTCCGATCAGAGCTCTGGTTGCTCATAGTCAGACTCCTCATCTGTAGCCTTCATCACATCTGTACATTGTGACAATCTGGTCTCTGAGCTCTGCAGGTTTCTGACTTTGAGACAATTGGAAGCAACCAGAGCTAAACTTAAAGAGTTGTTATCACAGGTACTTATGGGAATGTCATATTTCAGTTTTTATTTTACAGTACACCTGTCAAAAGGTGGGGGCATTATTGCATAGTCTCCATCTGTCTGTACAGGTCAAGGTCATAAATCAAGGTCCAATATTATACAAGGTCTTTGCTTGTAGAGGTTCTGCAGAACCATCAGCTGTGGGACTGGGTTGTAACCAGGAACTGGTTCTGCAGAGCTGAGTTCATGTGTGTGAGCTGAAACTGGTTAGACCTGTCTGGATCCATAGAGTCAGCCTGAAGAAAGACATCTTTGTATCCAAACTGTGCAAGTTTTACACCATAGTTCATGCTCAATAATCCAGGTATAAAATCCTGCTCGTTTTAATTTAAAAGGGACTCTTATTTTGTAAGGTTATTGTATAGAATGTTATAGGGTGCAAGAGTCTTGAGTCATCGCTCCTTATCACTCCCAGCCAAAGACATTAATGTTTTACTCATGTTTCTGTGTGCCTGTTTGTTTGTTAATTGTTAGCAAAATATCCTATAGAACTCTATACTCAATTTTTCTATTTGTTTTACTAGACATGGATGGACCTGACCAAAGAGATTCGCAGACAGGTACAAGGTGAGCTTATCCAATATTTATATGCTTATCAAATATGACACCATTTTTATTTTCTTCAACGCATTCATTTAAATATTTACCAACTCCAAAACACCCGCCCATTTCTTCTCCAGGTGACAACTATAATTTCACTTTTAATGTGAAATTCTACCCACCGGATCCAGCCCAGCTATCCGAAGACATAACAAGGTATTGAAGTCATACAGTTTACTGACTTATCAAACTCTAACATCTGTGAGGTTTTCTCTGAAGCAGGAGAAGTAATGTTACTGGTGATTTTTATCAGAGAAGTTAATTTTGAATGTCGATTGCCTGCAGAAAACTCATGCATCACCAGAGGGCGCCATTAAGAGATAGAGAAGCTGCTGGATTAGATTCTAAAGAGAGGCAGGTGGGGGGAGGAGGTGGACTTTCTGTGGCTGTCTCAGAAACAGAAGGAGCTCTGAACTTTAACATGAAAGTGGTGCTGACAAATTAATTCAGTTCAGTTTATTTGTAAAGCACCAAGTCCCAACAGAAGTCATCTCAGGACACTGTACAAAAACATTCACATACATTATAAAAGCTAATTAGTAAAAGTTCTTTGTCTAAGGAAACCAGCAGATTGCATTGAATCTTCACTTCATCACAGTCTCCTGTCCTGATAAAATGTAGTTAATAAATGTAGTTGTGAAATCCAGTTTCTTCCAACTAGTGGCATTTTGCCACTGTCTCAACTCTCATCGGCTCAGCACAACACGGCACCAGTTAAGGGCCTACCCACTACCCCATTCAGTTCGGTTTATGGGACCACCTTGTTTGATTTTGACGTAAGCAAACAGCAGCCGTTGATCGGTCAGCGGAGCTACATCAATGGATGACTCACCCAGAAAAACTGCAAACTACATCTGGATCGCCCCTTCCCAATGGGTTGATAGGAAGCGCCACAAGAAATGAATGCATTTACCAAGAGATATCATAGGTGATGGCGCTCCATGGCTAATCCCGGACTTTTCAGCAGTGCTTGAATAAGCTAAAGAAATTGATTCCAATCATAGGATTAAGGACCACAATGGGCAGAATGGCTCAAACACCAAAAGACCATCCTACCCACTTTGCATTGCCGATCACACGCATTTTGTATAGATGGTTCCACCCACTTTGTATAGACGGTTCCACCCACTTTGCATTGATGATTCCGCCCACTTTGTATAGACGAT